GCCTTCCAAAATGCTGGGATTACAGGTGTGAGCCACAGCGCCCAGCCTCCTCTTCCTTCTTCGGAGGCTGGTACATTTGTCCTGAGAATGAGGGTGTTCCCTCTAGGGGAGAAAGGGACTGAGCAGATTTGGTGGCATGAAGGCTCTGGGCTGAGACCTGACTCCGGAGAGGTGGGAAGGCAGACACCCCAGGAGGTGTTGAAGCATCTTCCTTTGTCACTGCACCTGCAAGCAGCCTCAGCAGGGTACCCCCTCCCCCGAGAGACTCTGGTGGCAGAGAGACTCCCCAAGCCCATCAGAGACCCTCTCCCATCCCAGCCCCCATCTTCCACCATACCTCAGGGGTGTGCAGGATTTTACAGTTTACAAAGGACCCCACATGCAGAGTCTCATTTGAGCCACACAGCAGCCCAGCTGTGTGTGGGGTAGAGGTGGGGGTAACTGCCACATTTTCTGCAAACAAGAAGCACAGATTGGAGGAGCATCTGTTCGAAAGCCTCAGGCCCTGGACCAGACCGGCTCCACCACTGGGGTGCCGGCAGGGGCCCAGCCAGTGTCCTCCGTTCCCATTCACATTCCCACATGCTCCGGTTTCTCTTCAAGGAGGGCAGAGGTGACTGTTCCCTGGTCTCAGCCTGGCTTTGAGCACAAGAGAGGATGACCAGCACTGTGATATAAGAAGACATATATGTCAACTGGGCGCAGTGGCTCACACTTGTAATCCCAGCACTTTGGGAGGCTGAGGCGGGTGGATCACCTGAGGTCAGGAGTTTGAGACTAGCCTGGCTAACATGGCGAAACCCCGTCTCTACTAAAAAGACAAAAAATTAGCTGGGTATGGTGGTGTGCACCTTAATTCCAGCTATTTGGGAGGCTGAGGCAGGAGAATCGCTTGAACCCTGGAGGCAGAGGTTGCAGTGAGCCGAGATCACGCCATTGCACTCCAGCTGGGTGACAAGAGTGAGACTCTGTCTCAAAAAAAAAAAAAAAAAAAAGACATATGCATCTGGTCTTCATCCTGGTTTATGGCCCAGAACTAAAACTCTTGAAATTTCCTGAGTGATGGGAGAGATCTTTTGTTAATCATAATAAGTCTCTTTTCATCACACCTGAGTTTATGCTACTGAGCTGACTCTTGGAGGATGGGGCTGGTAGCCAGAGGAACCAACCACGTGATTATGGGATTGCAACTTTCATTCCAACCCCAGACCTCCAGGCAGGGCAGAGAGGCTGGAGATTGAGCCAATCACCAGTGGCCAATGATTTGATCAATCGTGCCTAATAAAGCCTCCATGAAAACCCTAAATAATGGGGTTTGAGAAGCTTCTAAGTGAGTGACAACACCCACATGCCAGAAGGGTGGCTCACTCCAACTCCACTGGGACAGAAGCTCCTGTGCTTGTGACCTGTCTGAACCTCACCCTCAGTACCTCATCACCTGTTTGTCTATATCCTATGTAACATCTTTTATAAACCAGTAAATCTAAATAAATGTTTCCCTGATTTTTTTTTTTTTTTGAGACCGGAGTCTTGCTCTTGTTGCCCAGGTTGGAGTGATCTCGGCTCACTGCAACTTCCACCTCCCGGGTTCAAGTGATCCTCCTGCCTCAGCCTCCTGAGTAGCTGGGACTACAGGCAGCTGCCACCACGCCCAGCTGATTTTTTTGTATTTTTAGTAGAGATGGGGTTTCACCATATTGGCCAGGCTGGTCTCAAACTCCTGACCTTGGGATCCGCCTGCCTTGGCCTCCCAAAGTGCTGGGATTACAGGCGTGAGGCACCTTGCCCGGCCCTGATTTTTTTTTTTTTTTTGAGCTAGATAGGGTCTTGCTCTGTTATCCAGGCTGCAGTGCAGTGGTGTGATCTCTGCTCACTACAACCTCTACCTCCTGGATTCAAGTGATTCTCCTCCCTCAGCTTCCCGAGTAGCTGAGATTACAGGCACCTGCCACCATGACCAACAATACAATACTTGTATTTTTAGTATAGACGGGCTTTCACCATGTTGGCCAGGCTGGTCTTGAACTCCTGACCTCAAGCGATCTACCTGCCTCAGCCTCCTCCCATGGTGCTGGGATTACAGGCATGAGTCACTGCACCAGGCCTGCTTCCCTGATTTTTTTGAGACATTATAGCAAATTATCAAAGCTAAGGAGGGGGTTGTGGGAAACTTCCAAATTTGGGCTGATCAGATGTACAGGTGACAACCTGGGACTAGATCTGGCATCTAAAGCAGAGGCAGTCTGTTGGGACCGAGCCCTGAACCTGCGGGGTCTGTGCTAACTCCAGGTAGTGTCAGAACTGAATGTCAGGACAGCTGGCTGGTGTCTGGAGAGTTGGAGAATTGGTGTGGGAGACCCCTCCCCACTAACACTGGTGTCAGAAGTATTGGAAATGTAGAGATTTTCCTTGTTAGGGATCCAGAAAGACTTCTCACATCTGGGTCCCCAGGAAGGCAGCTGGGAGGGCAGGAGGGACTGGCTTCAGAGAGCCGAGGACTGGGGAGCACAGAAACGGGTGTGTGGCTCAGCAGTCGGGGGGCAGCAGCACCCTCTTCCCCAACCTCTTCACCCAAATGCATGGCTGGGCCTCAGCACCACAGGAAGGTGCCACCACCAGCCCTGAGACCACTGGCATTCGTGCAGAGCTTCCCTGGTGCTGCCCTAGGCAGTCATCAGTGAGGTCCTTCTAGCCTGGGCTGGAGGAGTTCCATCCCCAGCCCCAGCCCAACTTTCTCCAACTCTTCCTTGGAAGCCCAGAGGTGCCACACACACCTGCTGGCCACACACACTCATGAAGTCCCCAGGGTCCTAGCTGAGGCTGAGCAGACCCCTACTGGCCACAATGTGGGGATGAAGTCACCCACCCACAGTCACTATGCTTGCTGAGAACCACACTCCAGGGACCAGCATGCACTAGAAAAATGTCACACAGGAATACACACTCAGAGTGCACTCGAGAAACATTTATTGAGCACCCACTATGTGCCAGGACCTAGGCAGGACACTGGGAAAACAAAGTCAATACAACCTGGTCCCTGCCCAGGAGCTCACAGTCTAAAGGGCTAAGCCATAAATCAGCAAAGGTGCATTTAGCTTCACAATTTTACAACAAACTTTTACATAGGTTTTTCTCAAGTGTAAACACCCAGCAACACAGTCATGTGGTTTTAAAAGCACACTGGCATAAATGTAAACACAAGTCACAGGATTGAAAGAATGGGCGAAAACCATTTGCAATATTTGTGCTTGCAGAACCAAATTTTTAGCATTATTTCTTCCTCCCTGTCAGGTAGGATATAAGTTTTGCCAATCTTCGGGTAACAGTGTTTGAGACATGGGGGTTCTGTGGCCTGGCTGCCGTCATGCAGCGGGGAAGCCACCCTAGGTACAAGGTGTCCTGAAGCCCTGGCCACTGCCTTCTGGCCACCATACCTCACCGTCTTTTAATCTCCCCTGGACAAAGAACCTGTACTTTTTTTTTTTTTTTTTTTTGAGACAGAGTTTTGCTCTTGTTGCCCAGGCTGGAGTGCAATGGAAAGATCTTGGCTCACTGCAACCTCCACCCTCCAGGTTCAAGCGATTCTCCTGCCTCAAGCTCCCTAGAAGCTGGAATTACAGATGACTGCCACAACCCAGCTAATTCTTTGTATTTTTAGTAGAGGTGGGGTTTCACCCTGTTGGCCAGGCTGGTCTGGAACTCCAGACCTCAGGTGATCAGCCCACCTCAGCCTCCCAAAGTGCTGGGATTACAGACATGAGCCAGCATGCCTGGCTGACCCTATACATTTTTTGGCTCCTCCTGAGCTTGTCAGATGGGGAGAAGGGACCATGTCCCAGGAGCCCACCAAGCTGTGAGATCCCTCATGGGTACATGGCTGGCCCATGGCAACACCCTATCAGGTGAGCATGCAGCACACACTGCCCAGGCCCAGACCCTGCTTGCCTGAGATGAAATCCCTGGTCAATCTCAAGTCTGGTAGTGTTGGCGAGGGGTGGCAGCTCACACCTATAATCCCAGCACTTTGGAAGGCTGAGGCAGGAGGATCACTTGAGGTCAGGGTTCGAGACCAGCCTGGCCAACATGGAGAAACCCTGTCTCCACCAAAAAAATACAAAAATTAGACAGTCATGGTGGCGGGCACGTGTAACCTTAGCTACTCGGGAGGCTGAGGCAGAATCGCTTGAACCCGGGAGGCCAATACGGCGATATCCCATCTTTACTAAAAATATCAACGATTAGTTGACATCGCACCACTGCATTCCAGCCTGGGCAACAGTGCGAGACTCCATTGCTATAAATAAATAAATTTGGCGGTGTCAGCGTCCTACAGGAATAGCTGCCCTCCAAGTCTCACCTGTGCCCCCACTTATCCTACATGCACATTTGTCCACAGGTGCATGGTCCCGCTTCCCACACCTGCCAAAGTGGCCTCCTCGTGGTCCAGGGAATGGGGGAATCCAGCAAACATTTGGGTTTAATTAAGCCAAGGGGTGGGTGGATGAAGTTGGATAGCTGAGGGTGCAGGCCTGCAGGGCTGTACACGGCAGGGCTGAGTTAGGACCCCTGTGCTCCCTTCCCTGTCACGAGGAAAGGGAGGAGAGGCATCTTCCCACCTGCAAGCTGGCTACCACCATTTCACTTTAGAAAGCTCAGGATAATTCTCAGCTTCTTCCTGGGTGTGAGCACCCCTGGGCTTGCACAGTGGCCTCTTTTGGCCAGAGGCCTACCAGGTGAGCCAGGAGGTACAATGTTCAAGAAGATTGCTTCTGACCCCATTTCCAGGGCAGAGAGGAGGGGAGGGGGTGAGACACTTGCAGGTGACTGAGCACAAGTCAGCCCTTGTCCCCCCACCCCGGCGCTGTCCCACCTTCGGGAGAGGTGGCTCCCTGGCTTCCCCCAGGATCATCTTCCAGCCCCCCTGACCCTCAGGGTTGCTCTAGGTGGCCAGGTATCATGCTAGCAAACCCCTTCCCCCAATGATGGCCCAGACGGAACTCTTCATAAAAAAAAATAATTTATTGTCAACAAAGGTGATATATACAACATGAAAACAGACGAAAAAGAGAATGGGAGTGAATGGGGCACCCAGCCAGGCAGCCTCAGGCCTCTGCAGGGGTGGGATAGGAAGAGGTAATGGAGGCTTCCTGGTTTAGGAGCCTGAACAAGTGGGGAGGGGAGGTGTCCCCCGAGGTAGTGGGACTCAGTTCAAACCCCCTTATGACCACTCTTGTGTAAGGCACTGTGCCAAGGGAGAATGGTGGGGAGCCAGGGGAGGGTGTCATGGGGGACAGAGAGAGGTGGGGTCAGCAAAGGGCTGGGGTAGGTGTTCTCCACAGGCCCAGTGCCCTACTGCACAACAGCCTCAGCCACCCTCGCCGACCTCGGGCCTGGCTAGGAGCAGACACTTTCCAGTGCCTCGAAATAACAATGGATGCTGCCCAGCCGCCTCCTGCCCTGGCACCTGTTTCTACTCTCTCCACCAGGTGGCTGAGCTGGGCAGCTCTGAGTTATAAGCCACAGGGGGACACTGCCTCCTCCTCCTTCTCCTCCCTCCCTCCCTCCCTCCCTCCCTCCCTCCCTCCCTCCCCCAGGAAAACAAGAATCTACACCCCATTCCCTTTCTCTGGCTTCTCCGCCACAGTAGTGCTGGATTCCGACAGAACCGTGGGCCAGTCTGGGGTGTCACCTGCTCCAACACGCTTGGTGCCCTGGGGGTGCCTGGACCAGTCTTGCAGGAGGCTGACCGCTGGGGGCTCCTCCATCCGCACGCGGATAACCTGGAGATCCAGTGTCCCACGGAGCCCCGGAGGAGCTGGGCAGGGATGAGAGCAGAGAGCAGAGTCAGGGCCCCCCAGATACCCCACCATGAGGATGCTCCCTGGAAGCGCTGCAAACTGTATCCCCATTTCCAGGGCTTTATGTCTACAGCCTAGTGCCTAGCATGAGGGGAAGTCCAAGGATGGCAGGAAGCTCCACTCCTGGCTGATCGAGGACTGCTGCCAGCCAGAAAATGAGGCTCACAGCCTCCCTAGGCAAGAGCCAGATGAAGCTAGGCAGCCTTCCTCCTGTATGTATTCTGGCACAGGGATGCCTGGTGCTGTGTGCCTCTCCCTCTAACTCTTACCTGCAGCCAACTCCATTTCATCTCAAGCTTACTGTGCATCCTAGTTTAATGGGTTCTGCCTGAGTACAGCAGAGGTGCAGGGGTGGGAACACCCAGAAGCAGTCTAAGGCATAGCTGTGTCCACCAAAGAGCTCATAAGGGACTACACAGGGCAGAGAAAAGAGCCCTGGTGAGTGACCAGCTCCACACTGCAGCTTCTACCAGGCTCTTTATCTGTTGAGTGTCAACACCTACATCACTAGGATCTGGCATTCACCTTAGCAGTATGGAGAAGCCACTCCCATGAGCAAAGCTGGGCCTTGAGACAGAGAAAAGAGGACTGCTGTAGCTAGTGTGCAGTCACAAAAAACGAGCATGCAACAGGGACATGTGCAAAAGTTACGTTACACTGGGGCCAGGAATAGTGGCTCACACTTGTAATCCCAGCACTTTGAGAGACCAAAGCGAGCTGATCACTTGAAGTTAGGAGTTTGAGATCAGCCTGGCTAACCTGGAGAAACCTGATTTCTACTAAAATACAAAGAAATTAGATGGGCGTGGTGGTGCACCTCTCTAATCCCAGCTACTCAGGTGACTGAGGCAGAAGAATCACATGAAACCAGGAGGCTGAGGTTGCAGTGAGCCAAGATCACACCACTGCACTCCAGCCTGGGCGACAGAGCGAGACTCCATCACACATACATAAAAAAGTTATGTTACTTTTTTAAAGGCAAAAACAGAAAATGGTGATTGCAACTACTGCCCCGTCTATATTGGGAAGGACTCATTTGTTCCTTTTCTTCCTGTTTTTAGAGACACGATTGCTTAAAACATGGCAGAGAAAACAGGTACAATTTTACTGTGCAATGTGCTAGAATTTATAATGACTTAGTGGTTTGTTTCGGGAACCAGGTGAGAGCCAGCCAGGACTAGGGTAGCAGCAGTGGATGTGGTGACAGCAACGTGAGCTCTGAACTTGTTTTGAAAGATTGGCTGCTGGACTGATGCTGGGTTGGAGAGAGAAAGAAGAGAGTGACTATATGGGTGTGGCCACAGCAAATGAAGGCTGGGGCTGTCGTTTACTGGGAAAGGGAAAATCGTCGAGGCTAGGGGTGGGGTGCATTGGGGAGACTGGGGGTTCAGATTCAACGTGCTGAGTTTGACTTTTTTTTTGAGATGGAGTCTCTCTCTGTCGCCAAGCTGGAGTGCAGTGGCGTGATGTTTGAGATCTTTTAGACAACCATGTAGAGGTGCCACCTGGGCAACCGGAAAAGAGGATGGAACCAGGAAGGAGGGGCCGAAGTGGGTGTTACGAGCACACAGGCATTGAAAGCTGCAAATCTGGGTGAGACCTCCCAGGGAGCAAGGTCTGACAATGGCCCATGGCTGGGAATATTTTTTTTTTTTGAGATGGAGTTTCTCTCTTGTTACCCAGGTTGGAGTGCAATGGCGCGATCTCGGCTCACCGCAACCTCTGCCTCCTGGGTTCAGGCAATTCTCCTGCCTCAGCTTCCTGAGTAGCTGGGATTACAGGCACGTGCCACCATGCCCAGCTAATTTTTTTGTGTTTTTAGTAGAGACAGGGTTTCACCATGTTGACCAGGATGGTCTCGATCTCTTGACCTCGTGATCCACCGGCCTCGGCCTCCCAAAGTGCTGGGATTACAGGCGTGAGTCACCGCTCCCGGCCGGCTGGGAATATTTAAGCACTTATTCATTCACCAAACACATAAGTCGGGCCTACTCTGTGCCAGGCACTGTTTTGGCTCCTGGGGACATCACAGTGTAGGACGCAAACACCCTAACCTGTAGGCCCTTACATTCCAGAAAGGGAAAGGCAGACAACGATGTGACGTGTTTCTAGCTCTAGGAGCTGAGAATGAGCAGCAAGAGAAACTGAGAAGGAGCAGCTAGTGAGGGAAGAGGAAACCAGGCGAGCAGCTGCCTGAAGAGCCAAGGGAAGAAAGTTGTCCCCAGGAAGGAGTGAGTGATGGGTCCACTGTAACTGCCAGATCAGAAAGAGAAAGACCAGCCGGGCGCAGTGGCTCACGCCTATAATCCCAGCACTTTGGGAGGCCGAAGCAGGTGGATCACCTGAGGTCAGGACTTCAGACCAGCCTGACCAACATGATGAAACCCCATCTCTACTAAAAACACAAAAATAGCTGGGTGTGGTGGCACATGCCTGTAATCCCAGCTGCTTGGGAGGCTGAGACAGAAGAGTCATTTGAACCACAGAGGCAGAGGTTGCAGTGAGCCAAGACTGCACCACTGCATTCCAGCCTGGAAGACAGAGTGACACTCAAAAACCAAACAAAACACCCGTTTGAAGCTCACACTCACGCACACACACACTCACTCTTTTACTCTGCTTCCTCCTTGGTCCAGCCTGGAAACACAGGATCTGGCCGAGGTATCCTATCCTTAGGTCCTACTCAAACTAAACACCAGTGAGACAGAGAGGCTCCTCTTTCCATTACTTGTCAGCAGGTCATTGTGGCCCATCCCCTCCTGGCCTGGACACATTCTCCATCCTCCTCTGGCAAGGTCCGTGGAGGGTTCTAGAGTCTTCCCAGACCACCTCACATTGATATCCATCAGCTCAGCTAACCTGACGACAGTGGCCTTTCCCAACTGTGAAATCCATAATTTTTACACCTCTAAATTTTTTTAAAGTAGCAGGATCTTTATTTAAATGAAGTCTTCAGAGAACTTCAATATGTACATAATACAGAAAGTAGAGACATTCTGGTGGAAGCATCACAGGTTTCTGAGAAATCTGGCCAAGCTTTTGGTTCGAGAGACCATCTGAAACCGTAGGTCCAGAGCCTCTGCTCTGCAAAGAACTGCCATGAGGGTCCCCTGGTTTTTAAAGATTTACTTGCCTCCAGCCTATAAACTGGAGCCTATAAATTCAGTGGACACGCTGAGCTTTGGGGGACAAAGGCTGCCTCACTCATGCCATCTCCCAGGGTGCTTCCCCCGGGCACAGGCTCCAGGAACACTTGTGCACCACTCAGGTCTTCTGTAGTTTCCCAGGCCTCTCCAACCTCCACAAATGCTGCCACCACTTGACAACACCCTACAATCGCCTCTGTCCCTCTCAGATCACTCAAGCAGCAGATGAAGCCCCCTTCCACTCAGACTTTGCCCATTCACCCCAAAGAAATCTAAAAGCTCAGGGATTCTCTTCTCATCTACTCACCACTCCAGATAGGTGGAGTCTGCGCACAGAGTACCCCAGGACTCGAAATGAAGGCTCCCTTTCGAGAATGAAACCAGAAGACCCATTAGACAGTGGAAGAGGTCAGCCATTTAGAGCAGGGATCCACCAGAGAGAACCAAGAGCCTCGGGACATGCTCAAGTCCAAGTGGAACACATGGTCTCAGGGAGCCAGGACTGGAATGTGACTCAGGCTGAAACTTGACATAGTTAAAACTGTGATCTATATGAAGGGGTAAGGCCTGACTTGAGATCAGAAAAAGGCGGACCCAAATAATAGATAAAAGCAACTACAGACAGACACACACGACTGGTCTGAGGCCTGCCTTGAGATCAGAAAAAGGGGGACCCAAATACACACACACACACACACACACACACACACACACACACACAAAATGGTCTAGTTCTGTCAGGTCTGAGGCCTGCCTTGAGATCAGAAAAAGGGGGACCCAAATAACAGATAAAAGCAACTACAGACAGACAGACAGACACACACACACACACGCGCGTGCGTGCGCGCGTCCGCGTGCGCAGCTGTCTAGCTCTGTTGCCCAGGCTGGAGTGCAGTGGTACAATCTGATTGGAGCACAATCAGAATTTACTCAAACTCCTGGGCTCAAGTGACCCTCTTGCCTTAGTCTCTAGCCTTAGTAAGGACTTTTAAAACTTTCTAGGCCAGGCGTGGTGGCTCATGCCTGTAATCCCAAGGCCGAGGCGGGTGGATCACGAGGTCAAGAGATCGAGACCATCCTGGTCAACATGGTGAAACCCCGTCTCTACTAAAAATACAAAAATTAGCTGGGCATGGTGGCGTGGACCTGTAGTCCTAGGTACTCGGGAGGCTGAGGCAGGAGAATTGCTTGAACCCAGGAGGCGGAGGTTGTGGTGAGCCGAGATCGTGCCATTGCACTCCAGCCTGGGTAACAAGAGTGAAACTCCATCTCAAAACAACGGTGAGCCGAGATCGTGCCATTGCACATCAGCCTGGGTAACAAGAGTGAAACTCCATCTCAAAACAAACAAACAAACAAAAAAAAAAAAAAACTTTCTATAGAGAAGGAGTCTCCTCCTTATGTTGCCCAGATTGGTCTGGAACTTGAGCCTCAGGCAATCTTCCCACCATGCGACCCAAAGTGCTGGGATAATAAGTGTGCGCTACTGTGCCTAGCCAAGGATTTTTTTCTTTATGCAAAAAAGCACACCTGTCACCCCAGAACTTTGGGAGGCCTAGGTGGGAGGACTGCTTGAACCCAGGAGTTCAAGACCAGCTTGTTGTGCAACATAGGGAAAACCTGTCTCTACAAGAAATTTAAAAATTAGCCTGGCATGGAGAGGCACATCTGTGGTCCTAGCTACTCAGGAAGCTCTGGCAGGAAGACTGCTTGAGCCTGGGAGTTTGAGGCTGCAGTGAGCTATGATGGTACCACTGCACTCTAGCCTGGGCAGAGATCCTGTCTCAAAAAACAAAGAGCACACCTGCTTTCTGAGAGCCCTACTCTCAGGAGAACCTCCGGCCACCCCGTTGGCCATCATTCTATTGCTCTAATTCCAAACACACATTTCAGACAAGCTGGTACAAGGAACCATGCACTCCTGACCCATTCACTTCTTCAAGAAGCATTTCCTGAGTGCCTGTAAACTATGCTTGGCATGGAGAGGTGAACAGAGGACCTAGGCTTGGTCTCTGCCTGCTGGACTACATTCCAGTCTCATCCTAATTCTGCTTGTTGGGTCACATGAGTGTGGTTGGCAGAATGATGCCCCTCACCCCCCACCAGATAGTCATGTCCTAATCCCTGGAACCTGTGAGTTGAATGTTTTGTTACATGGCAAAGGGCAATGAAGGCTACAGATGAAATTAGGGTTGTTCATCAGCAGACTAAAAGAGAGATGATCCGGCCAGGCGCAGTGGTTCAAGCCTGTAATCCCAGCACTTTGGGAGGCCAAGGCGGGTGGATCACGAGGTCAAGAGATTGAGACCATCCTGGTCAACATGGTGAAATCCCGTCTCTACTAAAAATATAAAAAATTAGCTGGGCATGGTGGTGCACGCCTGTAGTCCCAGCTACTCAGGAGGCTGAGGTGGGAAAATTGCCTGAACCCAGGAGGCGGAGGTTGTGGTGAGCCGAGATCACGCCACTGCACTCCAGCCTGGGTAACAAGAGCGAAACTCTGTCTCAAAAAAAAAAAAAAAAGAGATGATCCTGGACTGAGTGAGCCCTATATAATCATGAAGGTCCTTGAATGGGGAAGAGGCAGATGAGCTGGAACCAGGGCAGTATCTGAGAAAGACTGGCCATTGCTGGCTTTGAAGATGGAAGGCCACAAGCCAAGACATGCAGGCAGCCTCTAGAAGCTGGGCAAGGCAAGAAAGTAGATTTTCCCCTAGAGCTTCCACGAAGAAACACAGCCCTGCCAACACCTTGATTTTAGCTCAGTGAGACCCATTTTGGACCTCTGACTTCCAGAACTGTAAAATAATGTGTGTTATGTTTTGTTTTTAGAGAGGGTCTCGCTCAGTCGTCCAGGCTGGAGTGCAGTGGTGTGCTCGTAGCTCACTGCAGCCTTGAACTCCTGGATCAAACAATCCTCCTGTCTCAGCTTCCCAAGTGGCTGGGACTACAGGCACAAGCTATGTGTGTTGTTTTAAGCCATTATATTTGCGTGATTTGTTACAGCAGCAAACAGGAAACTGACATAAGGATCACGAAGAAGAAGAAACCATTTCTTTGAGAAATGGTTTTCCCATTTGGAAAAAGGAATGGACATCTGCCCTTCTATACAAGCTATTTTTATAAGGACCAATAAACCATATACGGTAAACTTCTTTTGGAGACAGAGTCTCACTCTGTCACCCAGGCTGAAGTGCAGTGGCGCGACCTTGGCTCACTGCAAACTCTACCTCCCAGGTGCAAGCAATTCTCCTGCCTTAGCCTCCTGAGTAGCTGGGATTACAGGCGCCTGCCACCGTACCCAGCTAATTTTTATATTTTCAGTAGAGATGGGGTTCACCATGTTGGCCAGGCTGGTCTCGAAATCCTGACCTCTTGATCTGCCTCCCTCAGCCTCCCAAAGTGCTGGGATTACAGCCATGAACCACCACGCCTGGCCTGTATGTAAGCTTCTTAAACTTAGTAGGGCACTGAACACGACAAGCACTTACTGCTATTACCAGGCAATTTACTGAGCTGGTATCCCCTGGAGGTGTCTGTTCACTGTTCATCCCATCTATTCTCTGGACGTTTAAGAGAACTGCTGAGCAGCCCCATCTGGGCCTCTGCTCCAACAGAGCATCTCTCATACTCTAGCTAGAACAACTGTATATGTGGAAATCAGCTTCTGGGAAACGGCCTACCCTGACCCAATGACCAATTCCAGAAAACTCCTAAGGAACACTAAGAAAAGCTCAGCTGGTTGGGCGTGGTGGCTCACACCTGTAATCCTAGCACATTGGGAGGCTGAGGAGGGTGGACTGCCTGAGCTCAGGAATTCAAGACCAGCCTGGGCAATATGGCGAAACTGTCTCTACTAAAAATACAAAAAATTACTCAGGTGTGGTGGCATGCACTAGTCCCAGCTACTGAGGAGGCCAAGGCAGGAGAATTGCTCGAACCTGGAATTGGAGGTTGCAGTGAAACCAAATCACACCACCGCACTCCAGCCTGGGCAACAGAGCAAGACTGCCTCAAAAAATAAAAAAATAGGCCAAGCACAGTGGTTCACGCCTGTAATCCCACCACTTTGGGAGGCCGAGGTGGGTGGATTTGGCCAACATGGCCAAACCCCATCTCTACTAAAAATGTAAAAATTAGCCAGGCGTGGTGGCACCTGCCTGTAATCCCAGCTACTGGGAGGCCGAGGCAGGAGAATTGCTTCAACCTGGGAGGCAGACGTTGCAGTGGGCTGAGATTGTGCCACTATATACCAGCCTGGGTGACACAGCAAGATGCTATCTCAAAAAACAAACAATAATAATTTTTTTTTTTTTAAAAGAAAAACTCAACTCTCAGGTCAGCCTCCCTCATCATTCAGATCCCCCTGCCTCTGGCCCCGTGTCCCAGGAAACCTGAGCACCACCTACCCGATACTGGGCTCCGCCACAGAGTAGCCTTGCTGAGGCCCGGCCCAGGGGTACTGCCTGTGAGGTCCCCACCGTGCCTCTTGCTGCGGAGGGCTTACCTGGAGAGGGGCTCTCTTCCCGGGGAAGGGCTTCCTCTGCCGCTTCCCCATCTTTGGGTGGGTCCTTGCTGTCTGGGCCCCTGAGCTGGGTGTGGGAGAAGAGCTGCAGGACAAAGCCAGCGGGGAAGCTGCCATCAGTGAAGTGTCGGACCTCTGCTGGTGCTGCAAAAGTCTCCGTGGGTGAGTCTGGTGATGGAGGCTCTGGAAGGGAAGACAGGATGGAACTGTGAGTGAAAATGCTTCAGGGGAGCTGCAGGCGCCCAGTGCCCGGGCCCTGGTCCATCCTCACTGATGTGGATCTCCGTGGAGCCCTGCAAGCAGAGCCCATACCTCCCTTGAGCCTCCCCTTCACCTGGGTCAGGGTCCAGGTTTTTGGTCATAGGTCTGCCTCTTTTCTTCCTGACTGGCTCTTCCCCTGCGGGCTCCTTCCATCTCTGACCACGTGGCTTCTTATTTCCTGGCTCTGTGGCAGGGACAGCTGTGAAAAGAAAAGACCTCATACCTTCTTTAAGAGGCCATCCCCCAACCCTGCCACCCCAGGGCTCCCAAAGATTCCTGCCCAGAACACAGGATCTGTACTTCACCGTGTCCCCAAACCCCCACCTCCACTCCACCGGGGCTCACTGGCTTCCCCGTTAACTAACCAGGAAGCTCGAGGGGGCGAAGTCCCCTGGGACGGCTCCTTTTAGGGAGAGATGGGTTATCCTCAGAGTCGAGGAGCACGACGATTTCAGCTGGCACTCTGGCAGGGTCTGGGTTGGAGTCTGGGTCTGGATGGGCATCCTGGCCTGAGTCTGCAGGGGGCAAGGGCACAGTGAGCTTCTAGTGTCTCAGCAAGTCCACCTTCTCCCTTCACCCACCCCAGGCCCAACTACCTGAGTGGGGTGGGGATGGCTGCTCAGCCCTGACGTCTTGCAGGAGGGCCACCCCTTCACTCCAGGCCTCCAGGATGTTGCTCTTCTCGGAAGGGCTCAGGTCCAGGGTGTGAGGATGCTGCTCCAAGATGTGCGAGCGCGCCGTGTCGGCCGAGGGTGCCCGGATCTCAGCACCACACACCATGCACAGTGCCCGCCCGCTGCCTCCAGGGCTGCTGCCCACCAGGAATTCCTGCTCCCAAGACACCTGTTGCTTGGGTTCCTCACAGCTATCACTGCCTGCCTCCAGTGGGCTGGATCTAGGTGGCGGGGTCTTCTCCTGTTGGGTCACTGCGAGGGGAGATGCGGAGGGTGTTATCACTAAAGGTGCCCGCCACCGACAATACTTAGCACAGCTCCAGACTCAGAGGTCTGAGTGGGGTGGGGCGGGGGGACAGCATTTCTGTCCAGACTGTTCTTCTTCCTTCCCCTGGAGTCCATGAGGCACACATCACACTAAACACAGCCAGTGTGCCCAGGATCCCACTCCCCTTGCCTACTCTTGGGCCTTAGGACTACACATACTTTTCCAACAGCCACGTTCTTGCTGGTCTCCAGCCTTTGTACATTTGTCCAGACCACCCTGACTGAGCTGGGTGACACCATCCCTGAGAAGCCTTCCAAGACCCCACTCCTAACAACAGATCTCATCCAAATCTGACTTCTACGCTTTGTGAGAAAAGTAAATTTTTTTAATTAAAAATTTTTATTTATTTATTTTGAGACAGAGTCTCACTTTGTCTCCAGGCTGGAGTACAATGGTGCAGTCTCAGCTCATTGCAGCCTTGACCTCCTGGGTTCAAACGATCCTCCTTCCTCAGCCCCCACAAAGCAGCTGGAACTGTAGGTGAGCACCACCATGCCTGGCTAATAATTTTTTGTGTGTTTCTTTTTTTTTTCTGAGACAGAGTTTCGCTCGTTACCCAGGCTGGAGTGCAATGCTGCGATCTCGGCTTACCGCAACCTCCGCCTCCTGGGTTCAGGCAATTCTCCTGCCTCAGCCTCCTAAGTAGCTGGGATTATAGGCACGTGCCACCATGCCCAGCTAATTTTTTGTATTTTTAGTAGAGACGAGGTTTCACCATGTTGACCAGGATGGTCTTGATCTCTTGATCCACCCGCCTCAGCCTCCCAAAGTGCTGGGATTACAGGCTTGAGCCACCGTGCCCGGCCTGTTTGTGTTTTTAAGAAATGGTCTGGTCTCACTTTGTTGCCCAGGCTGGAGTACAGTGGTGCTATCACAGCTCACTGCTGCCTCTAACTCCTGGGCTGAAGGGACCCTCCATCCTCAGCCACCTGAGTAGTTAGGACTACAGATGCACACTATCATGCCTATCTAATTAAACCTAAAAAAAAAAAATTAGCCAGGCGTGGTGGCAAGCGCCTGTAGTCCCAGCTACTCTGGAAGCTGAGGCGGGAGAAGCGCTTGAACCCAGGAGGCGGAGGTTGCAGTGAGCCGAGATGGGATCTTGTTATGTTGCCCATAGTAACAGGCTGGTCTTGAAGTGGGCTCAAGCAATCCTCCTGTCTCAGCCTCCCAAGGTGCTGGGATTACAGGCACAAGCCACCGTGCCCAGCCCAGAACAGTATATTTTATCATCTTACTAAGGGCCACCCCATCCCCTCAGAACCCTCCCCTCAGTGCTCACACATTTACAGCTGCAGTCTCACTCCTGTTGTCTGATACCTGCTCTTTGTGCAGACAGACCATAAGCTCTCACAGGGCACCAGCCCTTTCCAGTTCAGCAAAGGTAGCCTAAGAACTGCATCAGCCTGGAGGCTCAGTGCTTTGACGAAGTGCCCATGATCCCTCAGGGCTGCATCTCTCTCCTACCTTCCAGAGAGGACGAGACAAAATTAAAACACCTGGAGGCTGCATGGAAGAGGCGGCATTAGAAATAAATAGGAGCCTTGGCTTGCATGGATACAAGAGGTGGTGGCTGAAATAGAGACTAGACATGTCTTATACCCATCTCTCACGTGACCATGGGCAGAAAACCTGACCTGTCAGTTGCCATCAGCTTTCTTCCCTACTAGTTCTCCCAAGCAGCTCTCATCCACGTCAGCAGTGCTAAACCCGGTGACCAGTTTTTCAACGTCAGCCTCTGCTGATCACCTCTTCCATCTTGATTTGCATCACTTGCGTCCGGGGAATGACCTTTTGTTGGTTCTTCTTTTACTTCCCTGGCACTCCTTCTAAGTCACGTGTGCTGGTTCTTCCTCGTCTCTTCTCAATATTCCCTCCCTTCCTCCAGGTTGTTGCTGAAGAACTATCTCCCCATCTAGACCACTCCATTCCCCTTACGCAGCATTTCCAACCCAGCACGCGTCACCACCCGGCACCTGTTTGGGGGATGTTCACTGCCTGTCTCCTCACCACCATAGAATACAGGACCACACAGATTTCTGATGTTTTGCATCTGGATCTCCAGCACCAAGAACAGCAGTACCTGGCATGTAGTGGCATTTAGTAATTGTGAGGATGGACTGACTCGGTCTACAACCTGCCATCACTGGAGTTTCCCAGGACTCAGTCCTTGAACATTTTTTTTTTTTTTTGAGACGGAGTCTTATCTCTGTCACCCAGGCTGGAGTGCAGTGGCTCAATCTTGGCTTACTGCAACCATCACCTCCCAGGTTCAAGCGATTCTCCTGCCTCATCCTCCTGAGTAGCTGGGATTACAGGCGTGCACCACCATGTCTGGCTAATTTTTGTATTTTTGGTAGAGGCGGGGCTTCACCATTTTGACCAGGCTGGTCTCAAACTCCTGACCTCAGGTAATCCACTCACCTAGGCCACCCAAAGTGCTGGGATTACAGGCATGAGCCATTGCACTGGGCCTTCGGTCCTTGGACACTTGTGTCTACTTCCTTCTGATGCCACTGCCTGCCTGCTGGCAATTTCCTTGACACCACCAGCCAGATACTTCCAGGAAATTTAGGCTCCTGTATCTGACTGTTTAGTGACCTCTCTACCTGAATATGTCATAAATAGCATGTCAAACTTAATCATATTTAAACGCTCACTTCCAATCTCCCATGAGTACTGCAACCTTCCCCATCTCAGAAAATAGGAAGGCTGTTTCTCCAGTTGCTCAGGCCAAAAACCTTGAATTCAATCTCTCTTCGCCTCCCCGCTGAAATCTTTGCAGAAGCGTGTGCTGCTGGACCTCTGCACTTGCTACTTGGCCTGAAATGCTCTTCCTCCAGGTATCAGCAAAGTTGGCCATCCTCACTTCCTTCGGGTCTGTGCTCAAAATTCACCTTATTAGAGAAGCCTTTCTGAACCACTCGATATACCAAATTGAATACCCATTCCCCCTTTTTCTCCTCGTCCTGCTCTAGTGATCTCTGAACGACTTATCGCCACCTAACATCCTATACAGGAACCTATGTATCTGTCTTCAGCCATTGGCATATATGTGTTCTTCAAGAGCAAGGTTTCGGCTGCTCTGTTGACTGCCACTGCTGCTTCCCAGCCTAAAACAGTAGCCTCAACAGCCTAAAGCAGATACCCAGTGAATACTGGTTGCATGAATTCACCTGTCTATTCCCACCCTAACAGTGGGCATAAGGCAATCTTTGCAGAGTGGAGAGGATTAACTGAGACAGCCTCTAACAATGCCCAGTGAACACTCAACAAATATTAGCAGCAGAAGTAGGAAAATAACCTAACTAAATGCTCCGAGGAGAGAGGTGACCTTTATTTCCCTCATTGATTTTATAACCCTTCCAGTTCCAAAAAGGATGAGAGGCAGTGCAGACAGACAGCATTCGGTTGGGCTGAAGTTTAAAGAATGGCCTTGGGGCTTTCAACCTCTTTTGGGTACTATCCCCCACCTAAGAAAAGTGGGACTGAAGAATGGAAAGATATTTGCATTTTCACGCATATTAAGTTTTTCCCACAAACATGGCTCTTGGTTTTCTGACGGTCTGCAAGCTCCTGAGGACTAAAGAAATCGGTGAAGGGGGAGGGGAGAGCGAACGTTCTCAAACTGTTTCTCCCGTCCCCTCCCAAAGCGAAGCTCACTCTGGCACTGCACTGCTTTCCCAAACTAGGTGTCGTATGCAGTCCCATGCAGCCCTTCTCTCCAGAACCTGACACCTGTGGCTCGTGCAAATGGAAGGCTCGGGAATGCGATGAAGCGGGGTGCTGGGCAGGAAAGCGTTGTGCTTGGAGAGTCTTTAAATTCTATTGGAGGTCGGCAGCGGCGCGCGCCTCCAGCCTCGGGCCTAGAGGCCTCGCCGCCCCTCAGCCTAGAACACAGCCGGGCCGTGGTGCTGGCCTCTGCCTCTCAGGCGATGAGACGGCGGCCACCCAGCACCTCTGGGGATCCGGCCTCCGGTGCTGGGCCCGGGAGAGGGGGCGCTCGGGCACCGGAAGATCCGGAGCGTGCGGGGCGTGGATCGATGTCTCCAGACCCCGGACGGGGGGAGGGGGAGGGGGAGCGAGGGGAAATTGAGGAGGCCTGAGCTTCCAAACCAAGGTGGGGGAGGTGCGAGAGCGCGCCCTGGACCCACAACCGAGGGGAGGCTGCGCCCCAGGCTGAAGGGGGTGAGAAGATACCCAGGTCTCAGACCCCGACTGGGGAAGGGCGGCCCCGCACCGTGACGCGGAAGTGGGGTCCCCTCCATCCTCACCTCTGAGCATCGGCTCAGGCCGCGGAATTACGGCCACCACCATGGCCTCCTCCTCGTCCTCCCCTTCCTCGCATTTGAGCGTCACCTCAAAGCAGTCGAGTGCGGCGCCCTCGGCCTTTACGGCCATCGTGCGGCCGTGGGCGAAAGCGGTGGCCGGAGGACGGGCGCGCAGGCTTCGGCGCGCAGCTGGCGGCCGCCTCAAGCCTCCCGCCCGGAACAGCCCCCTCCCCGCCACTCGCCGGCCGAACTTGCCACCGGCGCGTCCGGGCCTCCCCGAGACCTCGGCGCGTCGGGAGCCCGGGCGGGGAGGGCTCAATCAGGGCTCAATCCGGGGCCCCTGCCCCCTGCCGCTCCCTTTTATGGAGGCTCATTGTCAGCTCCCGCCCGGCCGGCCCGCCGCGGGCCCGCCCCCGGCCCCGCGCGGCCAATCGCGCGCGGCCCCGCCCCGGGCACGCGGCCCCGTTAGAATCCCTGGACCCGGGAGGCGGCGGGAAGGGCTGAGCGGACCCGGGGTCGTCTTGTTCGCAGAGTCTGAGGGGCTCCCAGATTCCCCCAGCGCGGGCGCCTGAGTCGGCTGGCCGAGCCTGGGGTTCTCTGTCCATTGAGAAACCGATTGGGCGTTTCTGCTGGCGTGGAGAGCGCTACCAGGTGCCCCCAGTTTTTGAAGGGGGTTCGCTTTTGCCTTTCCGTGGACCAGCCTTTCTCCGCCAGCAGATGCCCCGCGCAGGAAGAGAGCCGGTGGGGGAGTGGAAAGGGCCTGGGCTTGGAAGCGTGGAGACCGAATTCCTTCTCAACTGCCAGCTCTGTGACCGTGGGCACGTTATCTGTTTTGTTAGACCAGCTCATCCTTTCAAAAACCATTTTGGACCCTCTGGGAAGGCAAAGAAGAGGAGCGGAGTGGACTGTGGGCGGACGCAGACCACCCTGGATGGGTATGAGTTCCATTTTTTAAACGTCAGTCCAGAGATTTTGTGACCCTCTCCAAGGACACACAGCAATCCCTTGAGAGCCCCAAGACCAGAGATTAGTTGCTATGAAATTGCTGAGCTACAACCATACTCTGGGTGAGCTTTTACTTCTGTGACATAGAATGTGCATCTTCCTTTTCTATAGCAGCCCTCATGAGATTTCAGCTCAGAAAATGCAAAATGTCTGACACTGAAAATCCATCTTTAAATGTGGTTATATCAGACCAGATACAGTAGTATTCAGAAACGTGTAGTCGGATGGGGGTGGGAGAAGAAGTGTGAACTAGGCTATTTGGATTGCAGTATGTGTGTGTGTGTATATATATATATACACACACACACATATGCATGTACATGTATACCCATATAGATGCATATATATACACACATATATATGCATATATGTATATATACACATATACATATATGTATTTATATCTATATATATATATATTTTTTTTTTTTTTTTGAGACAGAGCCTTGCTCTGTTGCCAGGCTGTAGTGCAGTGGCTCCATCTTGGCTCACTGCAACCTCTGCCTCCCGGTTTCAAGTGATTCTCCTGCCTCAGCCTCCCGAGTAGCTGGGACTACAGGTGCCCACCACCACACCCAGATAACTTTTGTATTTTTAGTAAAGACAGGGTTTCACCATGTTAGGCAGGATGGTCTCGATCTCATGACCTCGTGATCCACCCACCTTGGCCTCCCAAAGTGCTGGGATTACAAGCATGAGCCACCCCGCCGGGCCGGACTGCAGTATATTTTTAAATGAATTATTTTGTTACATACAAGTGTTTTCGGTATTTTAAAGGTTTTACAAATAAAGGTATTACTAAACCTGTTTATTTCTATTAGTCATTCTCTACCATTTGCCACAGATGCCTTCCTTGCCCCTCTGCCCTGCTCTGTATTGCAGGGGGCTGAATCTTGTATTGGGCAGTTTCTCAGTCTCCCAGAGCATCTGGCCTCGGGCCTCAGTTTGGCCAATGAGAGGCAGTGGCAGGAGAGGAGAAGGCAGGAGGAAAGAAAAAGCCAGGGTATTTCTTCTCTTTGTCTCTCTTGCTCAGGCTGAGGCACATCTCCAGCAGCAGAGGAGGCCTCTCTGTGGCTCCAGCTCATGGACAGGGAGCTGAGGTCCCAACATCTGTAGGGTGATCCATGCCCCTGGGCTCCATCTAGGCCAGCTCCTCTGTTTGTCCCTTCAGGTTAGGAGTGGTGGGCAGCTTCTTGCTTTTGCTAATCTCTGTACTGCCTCTTTCTGTCCCCTGCTGGGCTTCCCAGACCTTCCATTACCCCTGTTTGTTTGTTTGTTTGTTTGAGTCTTGCTCTGTTGCCCAGGCTGGAGTGCAGTGGCATGATCTCAGCTCACTGCAGCCTTGGCCTCCTGGGTCCAAGTGGTTCCCCTGCCTAAGACTCCCTAGCAGCCGGGACTACAGGTGCGCACCACCACCACCCTGCTAATTTTTTGTATTTTTAGTAGAGATGGGTTTCACCATGTTGTCCACACTGGCCATTACCCCTATTAACCATGTCACCACAACCCTGCATTACATTCTGTTTTCAATACTTAAAGTGGTTCCCTCCTGGCAGGGCACAGTGGCTCACACCTATAATCCCAGCACTTTGGGAGACTGAGGCAGGTGGATCCCTTGAGGTCAGGAGTTTGAGACCAGCCTGGCCAACAAGGCGAAACCCCATCTCTACTAAAAAACAAAACAAAAAATAATGGTGGCTCACGCCTGTAATCCCAGCACTTTAGGAGGCCAAGGCAGGTGAATCACCTGAGGTCAGGAGTTCAAGACTAGCCTGACCAAATGAAGAAACCCCATCTCTACTAAAAATACAAGATTAGCTGAGCTTGGTGGCACTTGCCCGTAATCCCAGCTACTCAGGAGGCTGAGTCAGGAGGATTGCTTGATCCCAGGAGGCGCAGGTTGCAGTGAGCTGAAATCGTGCCACTGCAGTCCACCATGAGAGATGAGAGCTATATTCTGTCTCAAAAAAAAAAGTGGTTCCTATTTTCCTGGTTGAACCTTGAGTGATACAGTATTGTACCACCCAATTAGTAGACATTTTTTCTTTTAAGTCATATTATTCTCAGCTTATAGAACAGGAAGTTGAAGCTTAAAGGGTTAGATTACTTGCCCAAGGTAATACTGCAAGAATCTTATTTCATTAAGCCTAAGGTGACTATTTCCCCCATATTTTAATATCCCCCAAATGGGGATGCTTTCTGTAATTGACATCAGTGTGAAGTTTAGGAATATCAAGAAAGTGAAAGATGCCTTTTCTGGCATTCAGACTGTACTGTTACCAGCAGAACGTAAGCTATGTTTTTAGAATGAGACATAGATGAGGCCACTTCATGACCACAAAGTGACTTCACTTCCCCTTTTTTTTTTTTTTGAGACAGAGTTTTGCTCTTGTTACCCAGGCTGGAGTGCAATGGCGCAATCTCGGCTCACCGCAACCTCCGCCTTCTGGGTTTAGGCAATTCTCCTGCCTCAGCCTCCTGAGTAGCTGGGATTACAGGCACGCGCCACCATGCCCAGCTAATTTTTTGTATCTTTAGTAGAGACGGGTTTCACCATGTTGACCAGGATGGTCTCGATATCTTGACCTCGTGATCCACCCGCCTCGGCCTCCCAAAGTGCTGGGACTACAGGCTTGAGCCACCGCGCCCGGCCTTTTTTTTTTTTTTTTTGAGATGGAGTCATGCTCTGTCGCCAGGCTGGAGTGTAGTGGCATGATCTTGGCTCACTGCAACCTCCGCCTCCTGGGTTCGAGCAATTCTCCTACCTCAGCCTCCCTAGTAGCTGGGACTACAGGTGTGTGCCACCACGCCCAGCTAATCTTTGTATTTTTAGTAGAGACGGGGTTTCACCATGTTGGTCAAACTGGTCTCGAACTCCTGACCTCGTGATCCGCCTGTCTCCATCTCCTAAAGTTCTGGGATTACAGGCGTGAGCCACCATGCCTGGCTGATGTCCTAGATTTAATGAAACGTGGGTAGTTGCTAAGGTAGGACCCAACCCTGGTTCTGTCTATCCCGTCCTTGCTCTTAACACTACAATGCGTAGATAAAGAAACCACATCAAACAACACGCACGTCACAGAAGCAAATCAGTCTGCCTGCAAAGACAGGCCTTCTTCCTTGCATGCTTGCTCTGCTGAGTAAACCCTCTGTGCTGAGCTATGAGGGAAGACTCCAGACCATCGTCAGTGGAGTTATTAGGAATTCTGGGAATTCCCCTCCACTGGCTACATAGCTACATAGTAAGTGCCAAATAAAGAATTTTTTTTTTTTGAGGCAGAGTCTAGCTCTGTCATCCAGGCTGGAGTGCAGTGGTGAAATCAGAGCTCACCACAGCCTCGAACTCCTGGGCTCAAGCGATCCTCCTGCCTCAGCCTCCCAAAGCGCTGGGATTACAAGTGTTAGTCGCTGTGCCTGGCCAAGAATTGGAATTTATTTATTTATTTAATTTATCATTATTATTATTATTTGAGATGGAGTCTTGCTCTTTCACCCAGGCTGGAGTGCATTGGTGTGATCTCCGCTCACAGCAACCTCTGCCTCCTGAGTTTAAACAATTATCCTGCCTCAGCCTCCTGAGTAGCTGGGATACAGGTGTGTGCCACCATGCCTGACTAATTTTTGTATTTTTAGTAGGAGACAGGGTTTCTTCATGTTGGCCAGGCTGGTCTGGAACTCCTGACCTCAGGTTATCTGCCCTCCTGGGCCTCCCAAAGTGCTGGGATTACAGGTGTGAGCCACCACCGGCCCTATTTTGTATTTTAATAGACGGGGTTTCCCTGTGTAGCTCAGGCTGCTCTCAAACTCCTAGGCTTAAGTGGTCCTTCTACCTCAACTTCCCAAAGTACTGGGATTATAGGCGTTAGCTGCCACACCCAGCAGGGAATCTTAATTGTTGAGACTGACCCCTGTGTAGGAGAGAAGGCAGACCCTTATTAGATAAATTACCTCTTTTGACTTAGTGAATTTGGCCTTAAGACATGAGATTCCTGGGACAGGGCAGAACAGACCGGAAACAGGAGAGAGGAGAACCAATGGCTTCTGTTCCAACAAATAGTTGCTCCCGGCCACTCCCCCATAGTGTCCCCTAGGCTGGGGGCAAAGCTTTTCCTTTTGGCACAGCTTTTATTGTTGGTAGCACTTTAGGATCCCAGTGACAAGCTGGGACAGCGAGTGGACTGCCTCAAGTGGGGATAGCTGTGGGGATATTGAAATAGGGTAGATACTGAAGCTAGTGGACTAGACCCAGCTCCAGATGAGGAGAGGGCTGTCTGAAGGGTACGTAAGGGCGGGGGCCTTCACTCTTAACTGGCTTGGCATTTAGTAGCGGTCTTCAGCAAAAGCCATAATAAATATATAGCCATGATCTTCGGCTCAGTAATCCTAATGCCAACTTAGCCTAAAG